AAATACTGTATAAACACTGCAGGAGATTGTACACTCACCAGATTGAGTCGAAATGCAGAGATGAAATGGTTCCGTTAGAACCTTTAGAAGCAACAATAAAAATTCTCCAATCAACAAAATCTGTTTCACTTCAAGCATATGGTTTGTTTATATGTATTCAAATGAATATTTCCTTATCACGAGAAATTTATATTTGCAGAAAAATACTTTCAAAATGAATAAATATTTTTTTGAGTTGAGTAGATTATGGTATCTTTATATAAATAATTCGAATATGCCATAAAATGCAATGAAAATCTTCAACTTGAATCTAGCATATGCTTATTAGAGAAAAAACAATTTATTCGAGCCAAGTATATGAACTTGTTATTTCTCTACTTCGACAATGATACAGTTATTTCTGACTAAGAAATAAAGCCCAAAGATGTTAAATTATATGAATGAAAATTATAATTGGTTCAGTTAAATGACATATACTCTAACTGAGACTTTATAGCTGTCCAAGCGATCGCTGTCGGTGAGATGGAAGAGAACGAAAATGTTGAATAATGTATATTGAATCAAGATTATGGTGGTTTGATATAAGAATCGATATTTTTCCACAACAAAATGATGAGAAATTCGAATGAAGAAATCAGTAAATGATAATTATTGAATTGAGATAATAGTGATATTTGATACAAGAATATTTTTTCCACAGGGGAATTAAACATTTTTTATTCTTGAATGAAGCAAAAAAGCCGACGAAATGAAAATATTGATTTGAGAAGAGCAAAATGGTCTTTCCAAAAACATTTATTCAGAATTACAAAATACATTCTCATTCAGAGTAATTCTTCTTGAAAAAAAAATATTTTCTTGGAACGGGAAATCTTTTTATGTGTGACTTTATTGCCAAGAGTTCGTTTTTCTTTCCTATTCTGCATAATTCAGAGTGTAAACGTCAGAAGAGGACAAAAATATATATTTCGTGCTTTCTAGATAGTAGTAGATGTAGATAGCATATGATCTAATCACGATTCTGTTATTTCTTTTCCATCGACGCCAGGAAAACTAACCGGAAATGACCCGAATGAGAAATTCATAAACTCCGTGAAACCATGAGCTCGCTTTTCTTCCACCCCCTCCCCAAGAGGAAACTCCCCCCTCCCCCAGGTTTCCACTGTTTCACGAGGTTATTAACCGCGCCGAACGGTAACGGCCGAACTCTTACATGAATGACCGCTGGAAATGACCAGTGGAAAAGTCACGCGAGGAAAATGGTATACAATTTATTATAGCCCAGGAAATCTGAAGAATTCAACAACAACAACTTATATTCACGTATCTTTGCTTTTTCTGGAGTTGCAAGTTGCAACTGTAAATTAGGCAGATCATTTTTTTTACACATCTGATCTACAGTTAGTTGAAACTTTGAATTAGGTTGATGAAACTACATTTCTACACTTCTCGTAATTAACAGTGTTACAACTGTTTATATAGGGCTACTCGACAGTTGCAAGTTGCAACTATAAATTAGGAGATGTCACAAGTTATAGTTTACCTTGTGTTTGTGGAAAGTTCTATACAGGTGAAACCAAGAGACCTCTTTGAATTAGGACGAAGGAACATAAGTACAATATAAAGAAAAGACACATCGACAAATCGAAACTAGCTGGACATTTCTTCACTCAAGATGGACAACATATGGCAGAATGGAATAATACTAAAATCATTGGGAAAGAAGATAATAACTAGAAGAGAAAAATCAAGGAATCTGCTTGCATTCTTCTGAACGTAGACAATAGCATTGCCTCCTGTTCAGTTGATATAGATAGAACATGGTATTCACTACTGAAAACTGAAAATGGTAAATTCGAGATTAACTGAAAAGTGTCTATTGTATATTCAAATATCCATTTTTTTTGTTGAATACGGAAGCAGATTCGTTCCGGAAACGTCCAAAGCAAAGTGAAAATTTGCTATTTTTTCTATATACCTTAATTTCTCTTCTCCAAACCTTTTTCAATACAAATTGTCACTGACAAGCTAGTGAATTTTTCTTTCAGGCTCTTTGATGGGAAAATTCTTTAAACGCAGTGACATTTTGAAGCAAATCATCTGATTTGTCCTTACTACACGTATATTGAAATAACATTCATATTTTTATTTTATAAAAACGAGGAGAGAAAATCCCAAAAAATCTGGAATAATGAATCTACCACCTCGTCGATAAACCTACAGACAGTATTTTAGAACTTAATTGATAAATGTTGGTAAACTTTACTTGACTAACTTGAGGATTATGACCACAACTTGAGAATTATGACAAGGTGTGGATTAAACATTTCAACTGAATGTCAGTGGCCTTATTTCCTGTATTAAAACCCCCTTCTTTACTGTTGGCGAGTGGATTAAAACTGAAATTCCACGTTTCATAAATTCCACGTTTTATAATCATGGGTTGCTAAAGGATTCACTTTTTAGTCCACACCTATCGCAGCAGTTTAAGGGACATTTATGTTTTTTCTGTGATGGGAAAAATTTGAAATTTCATGTCTGTTGACAGGCTATAAAATGTCACTTTTCATAATTCCGAAAAATTGGTCAACAACGACGTCTCCAAGAAATAACTGCAAGACCTTTTATCTCCCAATCGACTTCGCGGTTACGTAAATTACTTAACAACTATTAAATTCGCATTTTTTGGAAATCAAATCACAGAATGAGACTCACAGATATTTGTTTATTTCAAAAGAATGATAAAGATGCCTGATTGCCTCCAAAAAGATGCCTGCAACGCCCGTTTGACAAATATCATAACTGATGAATTGCTATTCGAGGTCAAATATACACATGTTGAATATTACTAATGAGCCTGCATAATTTGTATATGCCTAATTATTGGAAAACGCTTGCAAACTTGTTCCTACCTTCATGAAAGTTGCAATATAACATAGAAACAACGGGACTATATACCCTCATGCGTGCGTGATATTATATGGATAAAAATATAATCGATAAATAGAACCCAGAAAGCCGAAAGTTGCTTACCAATAACTCTTAGATTAGACCTGCTCAAAATAATTTCGTCTTTTTTAAATGGAATTAGCTCACCTTTTGATCCGAATCACATAGTTCCTGATTGAATATTGATAGTACTCAATTGGTATCAGGGGCGAAATTCATGATTGGCTCGAAAATCATTCATGTCAGATAGATCCCAATTTGTTCAATTCAATAAAGAAAAATCAGAAGTATTCACTGCATTATCAGGTGTACCCCAAGGGTCCATACTAGGTCCATTGCTCTTTATTCTTTTTGTGAACGATATCGGTGATTACATAACAACATCAAAGTACCTACTTTATGCTGATGACCTGAAGCTATACAGAGTAAATAAGGATGACAGTGACATGATATCAATAGGTTCATCAATTCTTGTGAGCTAAACGATATGTCATTCAATGAGAACCAATGTAAATATATATCATTCAGCCGCAGGAAAAATCCCATTGAGACAGAGTACTTGTTGAATGAAACTGAATTGGAAAAAGTAGAGAAATTCAAGGATTTAGCAGTAGTTTCTGATGGAAAATTAAGCTTTAATGCCCACATTGCAAAGATTGTAAATGGAAACCTGATAAATTGAAGTTTTGTTTTAAGGAATGCATACTAATTCAACTCTAATATCGCAATACTTTTATACAATGCATTTGTAATCAAAATATGCTTCAGTCATTTGGAATCCACATACCATTGTCCACTCAGAAATGATTGAGAAGGTACAAAAAAAGTTTATGAGATGTCTTTATTACAGGATATATCGAGTATCCACTTTTAAGATTTTCCATACAAAACTCAACTATCAGAATTTAATCAAAACACACTACAGCGGAGAAATATCGCGGATGTGCTGTTAATATCAGACATAGTTAATGATAAACTAAATGTACCTGATTTACTCTTGGCAATAAAATTGCATGTACCTGAAGTAAGGTTACGTAAACGAAATCATATTTTTCATATAGATGTGTCATCCTGCTCACCTTTTGTAAGAAGCCAGAAAGCTGTAAATGAGCATATTAACTGATGGGATACAGACATTTTCAATTCTAGTAGTCGCAGAATAAAAGGCACTGTTGATAATTATGGAATATTCTATTTAATTGTATTTCACCCACCCATTTTTCAAATGTTTAACGTGTCCATGTTAGTGGATTGTGTTGTGAATATTTCTCGTTCGTTCTTAATTCAGGTAGTTTCGGAAGTAATTTTAATCATTCCATTATTAATTTTAAGTGTGTACTGTATGTGATAAAACTGTTATTCTGTAATTGGGCCCAAAGCCTGTTGTTTTAGCAGTACCTATAAATAACTGATTTCTGTACTTGTAGCTCTCTGATGAATATTTCATGTGGTGTACCACAAGGGTCAGTTTCGAGACCAATGAAATAAATTGATTTATACCTACTTGATATAAATGTGCCGAGAAATGTGCTATGTGGAATAGAAATGATGAAAATATCAATCTGTAGTAGAAGTCCATGGTATATCTCAAACTGGAGTAAATGGATGAATTCTGCACAATTGTTTAAAAAAATCTAGACGATTCTAGTAGTAGAAGGACACATTCGCTTAGATGCTATGCATCAATTCTACACCAAATGAAGAGATGACATTAAATGGCATTGCATACAAGTTGTTACTTACATGAAGAAGTGCAAATATTGAAGAAAATTCATATTCATAAAATGAATGGTAATAGAGTAAAGGAGGTAATTGGGAAACATATCCTTCTACAACTAGAATCATCTAGATTTTGATTCAACAATTGTGGAGATGAATGACAGTTCTACTACTACTACTACTTCTACTATTAAAAATTATTGTTCGAAATTTTTTTTCTGTTTTGTGTGCTGTATGAGATTCATAATTCATCATTTCCGGCACAATGATAATTGTTGATTGATTTCCTTTAATTCTTCTAGATGAGAATGGATTGTAGTTCAACGTGAAAAATGGAGAAATACGAACAGTTATCCATAGTTGGCGAAGGCTCATACGGACTAGTGATGAAGTGTAGACATAGGGAAACGGAACAAATAGTGGCGGTAAAGAAGTTCCTGGAAACAGAAGAGGACGCTACCATTAGAAAGATGGCTTTGAGAGAGATCAGGATGTTGAAAGTAAGAATTTTGTTGATTAAGCTCGACACATCAATAGAAATTTCATAATCTCGCTTTTTATCAACTTTCAGCTGGTAGAATCACGACTGTTATCAACACTCAACTCATCAATCAACGATGAAACTCATTAATTCACCCATTCTATCGTGGACCCAACTCATCAACAACCTAATTGATCAACGTACCCGTTTCATCAATACCCAACAAAGCAATACCGAAAGCACATATCATCACATGGGCGAGAAAGAAACAGTGGACTGTAAATTTTGTTATCGATTTCTTGATTGATTTTCGCACATTGACAAGAAGCATTCGAAATGGCCACTCACCTGTTGAACCGGCGTGGTTTTGGTTCTTCTGTTGGTTTCTGCTCGGCGGCCGCCTCAGGAGCAAGAGCACTAACTGCACCTCTTTTTATGAGTAGGGTTGCACTTCACTGAGTATTTTTCACTATTGTGAAGCTGCGTTGAGTAAATTACAAATTTAGGGAAAAATGACTTATTACCAAAAACAAAAATAGCACTTGGTATCGTCCCGTTCTCATGTCATCTCTCCGCACTGCTTCTCTCCGTACGCATTGCGCACCATGGAGGGGGTGACCACATGGTACCTCTTGTCAATGGATATAGGTACCCGCGAAAAGTTATCACAAAGAAGAATACCAAATATTTTTATCATAAAGTAGGAATTTGATCGGGACAGTGGCATAGCAGAATAATAATATTTAATTAATGAAATGATGCAGAAACGGAACATCACAATTTAGTACCCAACTCGTCCATAACCCAACTCAACAACGCACCTATTTCATGAAAACTCCATTGACCTTCCCTGTTTATTATTCTGACCCTATATAGTTAGTTGGTACTTGTATCACCCTATATAAAATAACATTTGATTTATTGTTAACATGACGATGTGTTGTTGAAACATAAGAATTAATCAATAAAGTTCAGGAGAAATTGTAATCGATTGCAATTTCTTCTTTCAATAGTTTCATCAGTTGTTATCAAACAATCATAAATATACAGTCATTACCAAAGCATCGAACATATTGGTCCTTCGAGCCGGATCAATATGTTCGAGTCTTGTAGCCATCTGATTTCCTGTCAAGTAATGCTTATCTATTAGACAGAGTTGTCATTGCTTGAAATTTCACATTCCATGAGCGATGAGATCTTTTTGAAATAATAACACATTGGAGTCAGTGGATACGAAAATATAATTGAAGACATACAAAGTAACTAATTGATGTAGAGAATAGAGTAAAGAAAGAGCAATTTCTTGTTATAGCCGTAGAAAAATGAAACTTCCAAACCAAGCAATTCTTCATCTTGATTTTTTCACAGAAAAATAGGATGAAATGATAGAAACATAATGGATGTATGCACATTGACTTATCAAATACTTCCTGAGGGTAGCAATTTGGAGAAACTGGTTGAATGATATACCTCAAAAAATTCAATTTTCAAACCAATGAATTCTTCTCCTTTATTTTCCCACAGAGAAAAACGTTACATACTTCGAAAGAGGAGCAATTAGGAAGAAACGATTGAAAATATCTAAAAAAAACACAGTTTCCAATGAACTTCGTTATCAATAGAGAATTAAAGTATGTTTCGCATCTTGAAGAGTGCGAAAAGGAGAAACTTTTCGCACGATTGTAATAAAATATAATGTTGTGTTCCAGAGACTGAAGCATGAAAATCTGGTGACGATGATAGAAGTATTCAGGCATCGAAAACGTTTCTATTTGGTGTTTGAATACTTGGAAGGAACCGTTCTGGACGAGCTGGACAAAATGCCAGGCGGATTAGGCGAAGAAAGGACCAGAGAAAGGATTTTTCAAGTCGCCAGAGGAATCAGCTACTGTCACACCAACCAAGTAATATTTTTATTTTAATATTTAAATTGTTCAAAGTTCAGAGAACCTCTTTGTTTTGTATTCAATTTTATGGGACCACAGCACTCGAAGACCGATGGGATCTTCTATGCTATCACGTTTTTTTTTTCTTCATTTAAATTGAAATGTGAAAGCCACTATAAAGATACATGTATGGGCAGGGGTTGTCTCGCAACCTGTTTGTTAGATGTATACAGGGTGTTTCAAAAAAACCTGACCCCCTTGCTAGGGTAGGTAGAACACTGCAAAATAAGTTGGGTTTGCTCAGTTAGAAAATGTCGTAACGGCATCCGTTTTCATGATACAAGGTGTTGAAAAATTTATTTTTACACATTTTTCACGATTATTCCGAAACTACTGGCAACATTGTAATGAAATTTCGTATGGATGTTTCTCGAAATCTGACACATCGCATGAATTAGTTTTTATATCTGACTCTCATAGAGGGCGCTAGTTACACGGCTCGTACCGAGTAGTTTTGTTTGAACATAACTTTTTTGAAGTTAGATTTTTGAATCCAAAGATGTGAACTTGAACATCATTCAATTTCACACCATGAAGGTGCTCTTGGTAAAATTCGATATTGTGTTCCGTTTTCGGAATATTTCGATTTGAAAATATTGGAGTAGTATTGATGCTGGTATAAAATGAATTTTATTGAGTTCAATTACCTATTTACTCAGATTCAAAAACAATGAAATTATTCTTGTGCTGAAGTTCTTGATGGAACAAAGAATCATAAGTAGAAAATTAAGAGATATTTGATCAGTTAGAGTAAGTGTTCAAAATGTCCTACGTTTCGACGAATACACGATTCTATATTCTTTTCTTAAGAATGTATTATCCTTCTAAACAGTTGAGGATCAGCTGTTAGGTGATTTAAGTGATGTTCAATTATGTCTTACAACTCTTGACGTGAATTTACCTATGTAGCTTAGACTTTCTGCTCAAGATACAACAAAACTGTGTAATCCATGTTCTTGGTCAAATCTGTTTCGATGTTATTCTTGTGATTCATTGTTTAATCAATAAGTTAAGCATCAGAAATGTATTGTTGTTCTCGGTTTTCAATAAATAGGTGATAATTTTTCATAATACTCGCTCTCTATAACATAGCTTTATATACCAGCAACAGTTATCACTTCATCATTTTCACATCGAAATATTCCGAAAACGGAACACAGTATCGAGTTTTACCAAGAGTACCTTTTTGGTGTGAAATTGATGAATGATGATCAAGTTCACAAATGTGGATTAAAAAATCTAACCTCAAAAAAGTTATGTTCAAAACTACTCGGTACGAACCGTGTAACTAGCGCCCTCTATGAGATTCAGATATAAAAATGAATGCATGCGATGTGTTAGATTCCAAGAAACATCCATACAAAATTCCATCACAATGTTGCCAGTAGTTTCTACATAATCATGAAAAATTTCTAAAAAAATCAATATTTCAACACCTTTGTATCTTGATAACGGATGCCGTAACGAAATTTTATTACAGAGTAAACCCAACTTATTTTGCAGTGTTCTACCTACCCTAGTAAGGGGGTCAGGTTATTTTGAAACACCCTGTATATTTATATATCTCTTATTTGGGAAATTTGAGGAGGAAGTAGTCAAAAAATCGATGTGAAAACAAACGTTCTTATTCTGAATGGTACACCCTGTGCTTCATCACCTTATCTTTAAGCTTTTCGGAATTGGATCTTGTGAATTTCCACGCCCTGTATCTCATCAAATAATCAAAGGTTCTCGAATTATAAGGTTTTCTTTATAAAAACATTGTGAGAATTCGAATTGCATGACTGATAACAGTATTAACAGAGTAGGCCAGGCCAAACATTTGCAAGCGCTATGAACATGCATGTTATCTGTCAGAAAATCATGAAAAGTTGATATGCAGAAAGAAAAAAACAATAATTATTCTAATAATTTTCATAATGACACCCTTATATCCCTTGTAACGTTTGGAGCTAGCTATAGAAAATTCTATATCAGTTGAAGCAGAATTCAATCGCATGCGTTCAATTATTCGATAATATACAGGTCGCTCAAGAAACCAGTTAATGACATGATATTATTGACTACACTGTATAAGTTTAGGAGAATTCATTTATTCCACTTCAAAGATCATCATGTATACTGCTGATCTAGTGGATATTTGAAAGATTTGAATATACTAGGTGCTGCCGGAATAAGTTTATATATTCAGCACATCAATATTTCCTCCTAAAAATTGAACGAAAAACGGGAAGAAAATCAAGTACACCACTTTGAAATAATTTGAATGATTGAACTCCGCGGGATTGTGCCTTCCTTGCAACATTGTGGAACTTTGGGTGGAAAAACGGGTCTCACCCCAAATTTTATTTTGATCCCTATATATTTTTATTGATGCCATTCGATAGTATACGTCGAGCTTTCTCAGGGTATTAAATACTTGCAAATATTTCAATACCACCCTGTATAAGCAAATGAGCAATTTTGAGTATATTACACATTATATGTTGAGAACATAATAATACAAGGTGTCCCAGAACTCCCAGAACAACGCACCGAAAAAAAAGCACCGATGAACTGTTAGGGGGGCGATGAAGAACAATTTTATTTCCAAATTTTTTTTAATATTTCGGAATCCTTGAAAGGTACTGGTCTGGAATTGTTAGGACAATTCACTATAGTGAATGCGCATGGAAAACATGTACTTACCAATTCAATCAATATTCAGGAAGTTAGGTATTTCGCATTCTCTATTAGTATCAAAATTAATGTAATATTTTCATTGGAGTTCGGCACTAAACATATTTCAATATTTCGATGGATAAAAATTCAATCATCTCACTATTTTCTAACTGCCATTCTTTTATAACTTTTCTTTGCTCCCGAGATATCTAACAAAATTCATTTTGGTGATCCCCCATACTTTTTTATTGCTTGGTGTGCACGAAAGGGAATCCCTATAATGTTTTGCAAGTGTTTGCCTCATTTGTGTTGAATTATTGACCACGATAATCATGTTTATGAACTGCTTCAGCATATGATAATGTTGTTGATCATTTCCAAATTTATATTTCTACGGCTCTAACCCAAAATTGTTCTTGTTTTACTATGTTCTATACATCAATGAGGCACTTTGTATGTCATCAATTTTATTTCCCCATTCTGATATCACAATGACTCCATTGTGTTATTATTCCAAGAAAATCTCATCGCCCATGAAATGTCAAATTTCAATCAATGACAGCTCTGTCTAATAAATGAACTTGACGGAAAATCAGATGGCTACAAGACAAATAAATCTAAAATGCCGCTGTTTTCTGTTACAGCCGTAGAAAAATCATAGTGTATAACTCGCATGGAATGCTAATTTCCCACTCGAATTATTGCAGCATTCGCATACGGCTCATTCTGTGCTCGTTAAATAATGTACTATTATATTTTTTCTCTTATGGAGTATTTTTGTAGAAATCTTGAATTGAAATCCAGAAATGATCAGCTTCCAAATCATATGAGGAGCTTGAGAAATTCTAACATCTTAAACGAGTCTTCTGGAGAAGCACCAAAATTAATTTTGTTATTTATCTCGAAAACCAAGGAAAATAATTAACAAACTGCAGTAAGAAAAATGTGAGATAATTGATTTTGAATATCTACGGAATATGTGATCAGTGCCATACTCCAAAAAATTAACAATCATTTTCATCAAAGAGAATGCGAAATACCTAACTCTCTGTATATGGATTGGAATGGTAAAACATGTTTTACATGTATATCCACTATAGTGAATTGCCCTAGGAATTTCAGAGCAGTACATTTCGAGGATTTCGAAATATTGAAGAAAATCTGATGCATTTTCGTATGGGTAAGTTGATTTCAATCGCCGACCTGTTTTGGTCTTTAGTTCACCCTGTAGAAATTATGTTTTTTTTCTGGGACACCTTGTATATCGAATCATTCGAAAAATGTTATCGTCCAGATATTTCCTATTCTAGAATGATCAATGCCTATAACGAGCTTTTTAAGCTACGTTTCAACATTCCATTACTGAAGAGCGTTTTCAAGTTTGGATCGTGAGATAAGTAGACAAGTACCTATACGTTATGTTTATTATTGTTTATAAATAATTTATGCCCCGCATGTGGTTTCTCATGATTATGATTAGAGACGAATAAACAAACAATTGAACTAATTCATACGATAACAGTTGAAGTTTAGTCGATTCACCAGTTTCACCCATAGACGAACCGAAAGAGAATTTTTTGGGGGGATCAGTAAGTGAATTTTGCCAACTCTTTTTTAAATTTTCCAATTTTTTTTACAAAAAATGAATAATATGAAGGACGACGTAGTTGTCTTATGTTGTCATCTCATTTAATATCAATATGATATGTGAATGTTGCTAGAAGTCCATTGTAGCTGAAAGTGCATGGAGTGATAGGTTTCATATTCGAAGAGAAAAAAAGCACGAAGTCATGTCCACGACTTTTTGATTTGAAGAAATCAAATTAGAAACATGTTTCGGACATATGAAATGTCCATCTTCAGCCTATGCTAAGAAGTCATGTATGGAAATGGAAAGGTTATGTTACATTTTTCAAAAATATTGAAAAAAAGGGTTTTTTAAGGAGTCCCAACGCCCAAACATGGAAAATCAACATAATTAAGGACGACGGGGCTTAACAATTAGAAACCATCTATTGTTGAGGATACAATAGTTGGTTTCTAATTGTATTTGTATTTGTATTGTATATTTGAGGTCTGTTTTCTGCGTGATCTCACTAAGCTCGTCCTGCAAAATACCATATTTACACAAAATGACGGGTTTCCGAGCAGGTTACGTTAATATTTAGCATATTTCATTCTCCCTGATCGCTTTTGTTTTCCTGTATACATGTATTCAAATCAAATTATTCCTTGACATGTGTTAGATGATTTATCTACATCGTGAAATGTGATTTGCAATAATTTTCCGAAAATGAGATTATTACCTACCTCAATCCTCCAGTGCTCTCATTCTCATTATTGATCCCCGAAATGTCTTTTCTTCAGTAAAGTTGAGTGATCAGAGCTATAGAATTTCAAAATTATCGCCTCATTATTCAACGGTAGTGAACACTTGATGAAGATATTCCGAGTTCATAATATTACGTACAATGATTGCTGTCTTAATTTGAAATAATTTTTACTTGCTAAAAGTGCATTCGTTCACGTAATAATATTTCTGGTTGAGTCTCCCCGCGCTCATTACAATATATTGCCCTCTTCGCTGAATAGTCTGAGGATACCTACCTAGCAGTTTTCTAATACTTTTATTGCTATGTCACGCACAGGCGGTTTATCCTTTAGTGACTTTTCTCTGTTTATTTACCTTAGTTAGGTATCAATAATTCGAAATCTGTAATGAATATTCGGTTAATAAACCTATTATTATTTTTACATAGTATTATATTCATTTCTTTTCACTTGATACTTTCGCAATCTATGCATTCCCAGGTAATCCAACGAGAAGTCATACCCGAGAATGTCCCCGTTTTGTAGCTGGGTGTGTCCAAGCTGTGTGATGCAGGTCTCAATTTGAAACAACCATCTACTCCCTAAGTGCGTTGGTTCCCGTAATGATATTCCTGGTTGAGTCCCCGCATACTCATTACAAAATATATTGCCATCTTCGCTGAATGAGCCAAGAATACCTAACAGTTTTCTTGTATTCACTCCTTATTGTCACTGAATATTTTCGCAATCTATGCTTTCGCAGATAGTCCACCAAGAAGTCATACCCGAGAATGTCCTCGTCTTGTAGCTGGGTGTGTTCAAGCTGTGTGATGCAGGTATCAATTTGAAACAACCATGTACTCCCTAAGTGCGTTGGTTCTCGTAATGATATTCCTGGTTGAGTCCCCGCACTCATTACAATATATTGCCTTTTTCGCTGAATGAGCCAAGAATACCTGATAGTTTTCTTATATTCACTCTTCATTGTCACTAAATATTTTCGCAATCTATGCTTTCGAAGGTAATCCCTCGGGTAATCCACCGAGAAGTCATACCCGAGAATGTCCTCGTCTCGTAGCTGGGTGTGTTCAAGCTGTGCGATGCAGGTCTCAATTTGAAACAACCATCTACTCCCTGAGTGCGTTGGTTCTCGTAATGATATTCCTGGTTGAGTCCCCGCATACTCATTACAATATATTGCCTCCTCCTAATCCACCAAGACGTCAAACCCGAGATCGTCCTCGTCTCGTCGCTAGGCGTGATGTGCGATTTCGGGTTCTTAAATGTTCACTGTCCCAATTTGAAACAACCTCCTACTTCCTGAGTGCATTGGTCCTCGTAAGAATATTTCTGGTTGAGTTACCGCACTCATTACAATATTGCCCTCTCCGTTGGATTTTTCTAATACTTATTCATTCCTTATTGTCACTAAATACTTTCGCAATCCATTTTTTCGCAGATAATCCACCGAGACGTCAAACCAGAAAATGTCCTGGTCTCCTCCCTGGGCGTGGTCAAGCTGTGCGACTTCGGGTTCGCGCGTATGGTCAGCTCGGCCGGGGAAGTATGCACGGAGTACGTGGCAACCAGGTGGTACAGGGCGCCAGAGCTGCTGGTCGGCGAGCCCAATTACGGGCAGCCCATTGACGTATGGGCCATCGGCTGTCTCTTCGCCGAGATGATGACGGGGGATCCGCTTTTTCCTGGCGAAAGTGATATTGATCAGCTTCATCTCATCGTGAAGCTGTTGGGTGAGTTGAGAAGCGTCTAGCTCTACCAATTCCATCGGTGGCTGAGTTGTCCTCTGAACTCCCTTAATGTAATAACGTAATGTGATGAAAAAACTATAATTACGGGCAGCCCATTGACGTGTGGGCCATCGGTCGGTTGTCTCTTCGAAGAAATGATGATGGGAGATTCGTTGTTTCATGGAGAAGGTGATATTGACCAGTTACATTTCATCGAGGTGTTAGGTGAGTTGACATGCGTCTAGCAAAACAAATTCTATCGGTGGCTTAGTTGCCCTCTGAATTACCAAGACGTAATAACATAATATATGAAAGAAACTGAGTTACGGGCGGCCCACAGACATGTGGGCCATCGGCTGTCTCTTCGATGATGGGGCTCCGCTCTCTCCTGGAGAAAGCGATATTGATCAGTTCCATCTCATCGTGAAACTGTCAGTTGGGTGGCTTTGGTAGAGCGGGACAGGCAAGCTCGGATTTCCGCCTATAGGCCTTCATCAAGGCTCTGGTCCAGGGGACTAACTAGTCAAGGGGCTAAGCTGGGAGCAATTATTTCCTTCAATGAAATTCAATGGAAGATAACCGTATGATGGATTGTATTCTATGGAAATAATATTGAAAAAACACATATCTTCTGTTACGATTCTCATTTGTTGTCATTCTGAATCTGAATAGATTTGTGACACTTTATGAGACTTCAATTGTAAAACTCGATTGTTTCATCTGTTCTATTATTCTGACATGTGTTTGTGTCAGTATCAGACCATTGTAGTTCTAGATGACAACCTAGTTAGGTAGTTAGTAGGCAGGAGCTTATTATACCTCCTCGCACTAGGTCGCCTACTATAGGTTTTCATTTAGATCGACAATGGTCAGACTGTTTGTACGATTGAAGTCTCATAAAATGCCACACATCTATTCGAATTATGGGTTTTCGAAATTTATTTATACCAGTACAATACACACCTGGAGTTTGGCGCGTTCCTCCTGACTCACCCAGTATAGTATCTCCCATTAAGTGTGCTCAGGGTGTTTATATTGTGTTCTATGGTTCCTTCTGATACGGAATAATGGGAAATTAAATTCGTGTTCTCTGCTTTTCCACTGAATTTGAAGGAATTTCCCAGAGAAAATATATCTCTACCAACTTTAGTGAAATGAATTTGTGAAACACTAAGGAATTAAGCTACTATCGACGTATTTTTCATAATTTTGTGTAACTAAATTAACTTGATTGTGTTTTATTTGATCCAACTCTGTTATGGATATGAATTGAATTCAATAATGCATACTGTCGACTTCCTTGTAACAAAATATATTTTTTCTGCAATCTGCTCAAGAGTCGTCCATTTTTGTTCCAAAATTAGCTCTGGAAGTAGATGTTTCTCTTACTGACACAATAAAATGATTAGTATGTATGTTTCTTGGCAACGCTTTTGGTGTATAGGAGCTAAAGTTGAAGTTTAACTCCTAGAAACTAGAAACGTGTTGGATGACAGCTGATATGATAGCTGATTTGACACAGAAATGCTCTTGTGACTCAAAAATAGTGGTATCTTCACTTATATTTCATTAATTAGATATCAGTTATTTCGATTGAGGAAAAATAGCATGTTTCATCCGGTTCAAAAGTCACTCTTTTTGACTCCCAAAATTTGCGTGCTTGACTTCATGGTCGCTCCGCCTCGCAAACGCAAATATTGCTTACCAAACAAAGTGTCACATTTTATGCTAATAAAACAATGTAAGTACTATTCACCAACTACATCAGTGAAATAAGGTTAGTCAAGAATAGGACAGGAAGAAAATAATACAGTCAACTCCACGGAAACTATACTTTATTCAAAATTGGTGGACATGTTTCGAAGCTTCAAAGCTACATCATCAGCGAAAGTTTTGTTGCAGGAAGTACTTCAAAAAGAGATGAAAAACTTCCTTTGACTTCCATTATTTGAGTGTATTGTCTGACGTAGCGTATTGTCTCTGTCTGTAGTACTTCCTGTAACAAAACTTTTGCTGATGATGAAGCTTGGAGCTTCTAAACATGCTCCCCAATTTTGAATAAAGTATAGTTTTGGTGGTTGTCTGTAATATTTTCTTCCTGTCCTATTATCTTCACTCCACTGCAAGATGGATTGACTCAGATGGTTAGTCAACAATGAAACCTTCACCAGCTGCCTTCATAATATTTTGCGTAACTAAAGTCGTTTTATTTCATTTCAATCAGCGTAATCTCATGGTAATATTTTTCAAACTGTCGGTTCGACATTTTCCGATCCAATACCACTCTAGCTTCAATTGAAAACCAGAAATTCTCTCGAAATATCGTGTACTTTTGAAAATATCCGGTAAAACTTGAAGCTCTTGTGGTATTATAAGTGGAAAGATCATCGTTTGTCGTTCGAAGGAAAACCCTGTGCCCGCCACGAACACCTCATGGCGAAGAACACGCAGCTCAAGGCCGCCGTCAAGCTCCAAAACCACACCGACCCGGGGGGCCTGTACGACCGCTTCCCCTCCTGGCCCTCGCTGACTGTCGACTTCCTCACCAGCTGCACCAAAATGGACCCGCAGCACCGACTTACCGCCGACGAGCTGCTCAGGCACCGGTAATGATCACAACGAAACACATACAGCTGTCTATTCAGACAGTCGCAACTGTCTATATAAACTATAGGGTTGCCAAAAAAAACAGGATTTTGTTTTTGACTAATACCTTTTTTATTATTGAACCGATTTCCTTGATGTTACAGTACCTCTGGTGGTATTTGAGGGAGCCTTTATTTATACCCCCCTGGTTCACTATTGAACGGCTAGGAATTTTTTTAAATGGAGTGGGAGGTCGAAAGATACTTCAATTGAAAGGTCTTTCGATTCTCTATACAACCTCAGAATCTCAGACAAAAATATTCATCCAATACAAAATGGCGGATGATAACGTTTGGAATTCCACACCTGGATTCTTTCGACTAGATGGCTATCAAAGTGGCTCTCATATGTGATCTTCAACTCTCTATTGGCGTCTAGAAGAGTTCTGAAGATATCAAAAGGAAGCCATTTTGAAGAGGATAACATGATAGTCAATTATACATTTGCTCGATTGTCTTTCCAAATTCTGAAAAATTTTGCAAATATTCATTGAAAATTAAGAACAATGTTTATTCTACGTGAATAAATAAAAATCGAATCAAATGATCGAAATGTCTACTATTCACTTCTTGCCTTGACACATGAAGAGGCGATTTTGAAATTCACGTTTTACATTTCCAAATATTCCAGGCGCATCTGTTATGCGTTGCTCCAATTCATCTATCGTTACTGGTGGTGTTCTGTACACTGGAGATTTGAGATAACCCCATAAAACAAAATCTAAAGGGGTCAAATCAGGTGAGCAAGCTGGTCATTCAATAGGACCCCTCCTACCGATCCATCTTTCAGGAAAATGTTCATTGAGAAATGCTGTTACTGGCTCATAGAAATGCCCCAAAAATCTTACAAAATGGCGCCCAGGCGACTGAAACTACCATTGAAGCAGAAAAAAAATGAAAGAAAAATTCTCAGCCGTTCAATATAGTTAACCAGGGGAAAGGGGTGTATATAAGGGTGAAACTGAATAAGTGCGATAAACATGTGTCCCAACTTGCTTCATTTTCGAGATACAGGGTATCAATATTTCCATGAAAAATAGTTATTTCAATCATTACCCAGCCAACCATGTGATGTATAAGTGATGTATACGCCACATCACTTTGCGACATGCGATATCGCATTTGAAATCACAAACATGTTACCGATACAACGTGGCGATGTGAAAATGTCCGACTCAAGCAACATCACTGTGACGTCGTTCAGACATGAAATGCATCACATGAAAATAAATCACTACCAGGTCACATACAAGTGTACATTTCATATTACAAATACATCACACTGCGACATCGATGATGTGGTCGCCGTACCTGTGATATTTGTGGGATATATAATAGTAATAATTATTCAACTTTACGATATAATGTTTATTTTCCGAAAGTAAAAACAGATACAATACTTATCATGACAAAAAAAAAAAAATATCAAATGCACTTACATTATCTTGGGATCTTTCATCCACCTTGTTTTACATTGCAATATTCCTATCTCAGAGATAATTAAAATATTACCTATTGTGATTGAACTCATCGTCGTTCCTAAATGATGGTATACCTCCAATTTGAAGCTGCTATAATATGTGCTATAAATCATCTCAGATATTTCAACAGAGAATTTGGAAGGAAATAGTCTGTACGGGGTCAAACTCACTGACTGACTGACTGACTGACATGGCCATGCACAGCTCAACATGGCGTCTGGCGTGTGCGTTCGTTTTGCGCATGTCTGCGTCACACTCACAGGTCACAAAGATATCTCATGAGGATATCAATGTGAATTATTCAGTTAACGTCGAAGAGATGTAGTTTGAAGAAGTCGCTGCCACATTACATAGTTTCGATGTCATTTTGCGACGTTGATATCGAATCTACGTCGAAAAGATGTGTTAACGAGATATTGCATTTATGCAAGGTTGTTACATCACACAGATGTTTATGTCACACGATGGTTGGCTGGGTACTCAAATGTCTCGTTACCAATGTCAATGAAACTTGGTGGTTTCGTTGAATGTAACATGGAGCTTCTTTTGGTGTGATTAAATTCACAATAATATATTCAGTGGCGTTATAGTGGGTTAATTTATCGATATTTACAGTTGATATCATTGTGTGCCACTGGTTTTTCTGACTTCCATATTTTTATCAGATTGAATAATTGAAATATAAATTCTTTTATCCTCTGTGTTTCTTTTGTATATTGCAGAGTTATTGAGGAAACAATAAAAATTCTATTCGACTCCAAATTCTAACGTAGGTGCTGTCGAAACATTTATTGATATTACTCAATAACCTCAATTAAAATCATTTTGAAATTTTGGGACTTTTTCAGTCTCCAACAAAACTGAATTTTGGCACCATAAAAGCTTATACATAGGCTTTTTAAATAAAAACAATTAATACTTTCAACTTCAACATCCTGTATATCAAAAACGAAGCTAGTTAGGGCACATGTTTATATGAACTTTATTTCCTGAAATATCACAAGCAATCAACCCCTGAAGTTTGCCGCAGTTCTTCACTAACACCCTGTGTATAAGAACCATGGGTCGTATATGGTAAAATCCATTACGACATATTCAAGGTATAGTACAATGGGCCAACATGCCTAAGTGTCATCGGATACTTCGATCAGACGAGCCTTGATTGGAGGTGGAGTGTTTACATGTAGATGTAGGGATTCCCACATATCCATGTATAGAATTCCCACACCTCCATGAAGGGAATGGTCTAACGTGGTATGATTTTGACCACCTCGCGAAAAAAGAGATTATCATTCGATAAATAGGCGTAGACAGTTACAACAGTCTATTTAGACAGTTGCAACTGCCAACAAAAATAGCGAAACACTTACAACTGTCTAAATATACAGCGCAAACTTTCTTTTATAAGAAAAACGTAACGTGAGCCTTCTACGCTTTCATAGGTACTTCCAGCACGACTCGTTTCCGCAAAGGTTCGTGCCTATGTTGAGAGAGAAGGTCGGCTTAGAGCTGAACAGTCCGCTGCTGAGGAAGTTCAAGACGGAGATACTGATGGCGACCGATAAGAAGGACGAGACGAGGAGGAGATCGAGGTAAAAATACTAGTAGTAGTAGTAGTAGTAGTGGTAGTATATGTACCTTGGTGTGTATGTACACACCAACTGGTTATCGACCTTACGAGAGGTCCTTCAGCCATGTGTGGTCTGAGTAGGCTTTGTTACTGACTTCATACGCCCACTCAGGAGTGGAACGCAACAATGAATCGTGCGGAATCATCTTCGGCCGAATTTGTATCCATAACTCGTTTTATCAAAGAAGATTTTCTGCTTCTTCTTTATTTTTCAACTCATTAGGTAAGGAGTCATACAAAATTATTCCATTATGGAATATTGATTATTCACCAAAATTTGACTTATAATTATTTGCTATCAATAAATTGAATTGCCTTGTTTCATGGGCATGAATCGTATTAACTTCATTAAAATTCAAATTCTATATTTTCAATTCCTTCCTGACAAAATGAATGAAACAACAAATTTTGAGTTTATATAATGAAACTAGATTCAGCATGTATAGATTCGCAGTTGATTCTAAAAAAGGTAAATTGAAAATGCACTCTATTGTTTTATTTTGTAATTTCATGAGTGGCTTTAAACGTGAAATATTTGTACTTTCCCAAATAGATATTAGATATTGTATATTTGAATAAAAGAGACAGGAATAAATACTTTTTAGGTGTATAACAGGAATGAAATTTCGAATTTTATATATAATACTAGCAATAGGATTCAATTTTTTCCTCAATTGATATATATGTAGAGTCCACGATAGTTGTTCATCCATATATAGACCTAAAAATTGTGTTACATTTGTATATGTAATGGATTTGTTATTGAAACATATTGGGGTATTATTCAATATATCCGTTGTTCTTTTTGAGATGTACATATACGTAGATTTACTATGATTAAGAGTCAACTTATTGGTCGTTAGCCAAGATGATATTTGTTTCAAATCATTTTTTAATATCATTATTGATATCGTTGAAATCTTTTGAAGTATAGATTATTGTTGTATCATCTGCAAATAATTTTAGTTTTCCTTTCAATTTTAAAGTAGATATTGAGTTGATATAGATTAAAAATAAAATTAGCCCCAAAACTGATCCTTGTGTTACACCACATGTAATATTCATTAAGGAACTACAAGTATTATTAGATTTGAGACATTTTATAACTTGATTCTGTATCCTAAAAAGAATACCTATCATTGGAGATATTTTTTTCTAAGTATTTCAATACGTTTTGACCATGACAAAAATCGAAAGTACACTATTCCGACCGCCGTAGAGAACCGCATTCAACAATGTCCTCTCTTCGCATTCTAGGGACTCCAAGTGGAGGTTCACCCTGTCCGAGGGCACCATGAAGCGCAAGCTCAGCCAGGACGTCGCCACCTTCGATTCCTTCTCCGAAAAGAACCTTATCACGCTGGCTAACACCGCCCAGCGGCTGCACGTGCTGCACAGGAATGGCCAGGCGCAGACGCAGAAGGAGAAGCCGGGCAAGAGCCTCGCAGTCGACGTGCAGATGCTGGAGAAGTCGCTGGAGAGCCTGGCCAAGGACAACAGGCAAGGGGACGGCCAGAAGGAGGATCATGGAGGTGAGTTGTCTCTATGAAGGTGAGAACATAACAAGTGCGGTACGGTGCAGTTTTTGAAAGGTATCAGATTAGTATAGATGTAGTTTTCATTAGGTATTAGATTAGTATAGAGATCAGATAATTTATACGACGCTATAAAAGCAGATGATATTTTATCATTGCTCATGTAAGGTGGAAGAAGAGGCCGTGGCACCATATCATGAGCATATTTTAATATTGTAACTATCATTGAGCACCAAAGATGTGTATACGACGCTATGAAAGTTCAGAGAACTGGAGATTTTTCCCACAAACTACGTACTCAGCCCACTCGACTGTCTTGGCTTTTCCACACAAACTACGTACCTAGCCCACTCGACTGCCAATCTAAAAAAACAAGAACAAAAGAAAGTTAAAACAATGCCAACATATTTCTTCTTTGTGGGAAATCAAGACAGTGGAGTGTGCTTTTTTTACTTTCTTTTGTTTTTTGTTTTGCTTTCTATTGGCAAGTGATTATCTAGGAACTTGTGAGTTTTTTAGTTTTTTCATCGTTTCATCTCCCGAACTATTGAATTCAGAGAAAAATTTTATACGGATTTTTTGTAGATTCTATCAAAAGGAATAATTTTGGTTTTATAACATTTTCAGATATTTTCAGTTGTTTTCGAGATATTTGGAATTATCTGAGAATAAAATGTTCAACACTTTTGTTCCATCTTCCAATCAACGAAATGAACAAATATTTCATGTTTCAGTGGAAGTCGATGAGCTTCATCTATCGATAATCTTTGTTTTTCAATATATCTTCATGGTACCCTATGGGTCGTTCAATTTTTTTTTCATATTTTATACTTTATTTTCTGTACTATTGGGTTTACAGAAAAAATTCTGGGTAATAATTTGTAGGAAATGTACCAGTGGATAACTTTGCACTTCTGATCATTTTCGATTTTTCCATTTGTTTTCGATATATATATTGAATTGACAGGATTTAAAATTTTGATGTTTTGATTTTCATTTGTTTTTCCATTTTCCGATGGATGCACGAAAAAATGGTGGAATAATAACTTGTTGCGTCATCAAAGGGGCATACGGTTCAGGAGATATGTCGTTTCAAAGCGAACCGTGTCTTTCGGAAAATCTCCTTGAAAAACCCACTTGGAATTTCCCGACCCTGCTCAATTTCAATAGGCTTCGTCACTTCCTGATAGAGTTTTTTTTTTCACAAAAAAAAGGAAATCGATCGGACCACTTTTGCGATTTGTAGAGTGGTCACAAGAAACGGTGAAAAATCGAAAAAACCCGGAAAAACCACCTTAGAGTTTTCCGATTTCCTTCATATTTTAATGACATAATATTGTTTTGAGTACAATGAGATGGCAAAATTTCAAGTCGATGTGTCAAAGGGTTCCGGAGATATATGATTTATGATTACCACAGAGTACAACAGACAGACAGACAGACCACACACAAAAACCAAAGTTGCTCAAAATTCGATGGGGATCATTTTCTCCAAAGTAACTATACCTCTATCTCGCTTAGTTTCCGAGATAGCATTTTTGGCAAGGCCGTGTAGTATATTCCACTATGTATAGCGTCGTATAACAAGCAAACATTGCTGTGCAACAGTGGAACAACACTCGAGAAACACACAAGTTTACACAGTGTGTACGTGTTGCACAACAGTTGCACAACAGTTTTGCAGCTGTTGCCGAACTGATGGTCGGTGTTCGCTTCCGAGGCGGTACTTCAAAGGAGAAGTGGTCCAACAGTTGCACACACAGCGTCTGCAGTGTAGACGCATCTTCTTCGTCGCTCATGGTGCCTGACTGAATTTCCTAATTTTGATGAAAGAATAATAATCTCCGACCCCGAGAACCACCAGATACCAAATTTGAATAAAATCGAATCCTAATTACAAAATTCGCCATTTTGGATCCGCCATCTTGAATTTCTTAGTTTTGACGAAGGAATCATAATCTCCGATCACGAAAACTTCTAGGTACCAATTTTGAAAATAATCGGATCATGATTACAAAACTCGTCCATCATATTTTATTTAATTTATTTATTTTATTTTATTCATACACCATCCAACATCCGGAGCCAATTACAGGATGGAAAAGATAAACAATTAATTACAAATTACAATTTAGATACAAAATAGATTAATACTAACTATACATAAGTTTCATACTAAGGTGAATGGAGATGAGCAAATCTGCATATGAGCTGAAAAAAAAAACTATGAAAAGAGAGAAAAAAAGCTCTCATGCAGATATTAGAACAGGGAATATCAAATGAATCTTGGGAAGACATATAATCTGAACATATTCTATAAATAGGTGAAAACTGCAGTAGATTAGATTGAGGTGTGCACATGTAAAAGAAATATTTATCTCTCACTGGCAATCGAGGAACATATGTATATCAATGAGAGACAGTAAATGGGGGCAATCAAGTTTGTTATTAAGCAATTTATATAGAAATAAGACTCCACTATAAGTACGGCGAGTAGCCAATAGTGCAGTTCCAAATCTACCTGTTAATGTCAATTGGGGCAATTCTCTATCTGGATATACTATACCATTCTACTCTAAACGCAGAGGTGTTTGATGAATTTCCGCTGAATGTTTTCAATATTATTAGAATGAACATCATATCCAGGACTCCAGACCACCGAGGCATACTCTAGTTTTGACCATATTGGTTCCGCCATCTTGAATTTCCAAATTCTGCCCGAATTTTCAAATTCTGACGAAATAATCATAATCTGCGAACCCGAAGACCTCCAGATGCCAATTTTGAATAAAATCGGACCATAATTACAAAACTTATCCGATATATTTAGATCCGCCATCTTGAATTTCCTAATGGTACCGGGATGAAAAGTATCCTATAACCTTCTTAGGCTAAGCATATTAGGATTCTCAGAGGAAAGTTTTGCTATAGTTTTGATTTTCTCACCCTTTATGTTTTTTAGGTCGCTGATCATGAATTTGAAGTTTGCTGGCAAAATTTTGGCTCGGAACTTTGTTCTTTTGGCACTTTTTGCAAAAATTTTGGCACTTTTTTTAGTTTTTGGCCTATATCTCAGAAAGAAACCGTTTTTTCGAAAAGCGTGTTATATTCAAAGTGAGAGTTGACAAAATTTCCTAAATTTTTTGTAGATCTATTTTTTTTCTAAGACTAACCATTCGACCGCTAGAGCGCGCCAAAATAGACATATTCCCGAACCTAGACCTACATGAGTAATGAATATAGGGAAAGTAATTGAAATAATAGAACGAACGAATGAAATGCAGTCATTACTTACTAAAGAAGTTATCTACAGTGTACTGTCGAAAGTATTATAACATGTACTCATATTAAAATTATTAATATCGCCTTAAATTAGACTGCCATAATCATCTGGAACAAACGGATATATTATTTCTTGGATTTTTTTATAGACGGGGTGAGTATTATTTTGCACGTTTACTTCTGAGAATACTGTTGTATATACCTTAATTTTTCAAGGAAATGTTAAATCCCCTTCAGTCTATTCATCTATTCTCCATATGTTTCCAGGTGGTGGAGGTCTGTAATGAACAGAATATATGGGTACATTCATCTTAGTACATACATATTATGCTCCAAGAGTGTGATTGTCGTTTTATAAGGAAGGAAATGCTACATACCTTCATCCTCCTTGTCCATACTCTTTTCGATGGTCTCAACTACCAGGGCGAAGGTGAAGCCCAGTTCGTCCTGTACTTGAACGTCGAATGGCCCGTCATCAAGGGGAATAGTGAGATCTGCCTCGATTGTCACATTGTTGCAGGACCCCTCACAGTCGATGCACAGATTTGTGCAATCGATGCCTGCTTTTTTGCAACTACATTTCTTTGCCCACGTCTTGATGCATCTACATGACACCAGACGCAGTAGTTCGAGAGGAGCGGGGGCTTGTAGAGAATTGATCGGTTCCAGGCCATTTGTTGCTCGTTTCCAACCCCAATCTTCGGCATTCTTCTCAACTCTCAGCCATTGCTGCACGTGGAGATATACCCTAAAACTGTGCTGTGTGGCTGCAGCAGCTGATAGTGGTAGTGCAGCTATTTTTGATGAAGTCTTGAAAGCTGCCTTCGCATAATTAATATACCTCAGACGGTTTATCGACGGCTCAGTCCTTCCTGTGAAGCCGTACAGGTTGACCAGGAATCCCTCTCCTGCTGCTGCAATGCTTTCTGGAGTTGCCTCAGGGTTTTTGAACACACTCACAACATAAGCAAGGTTGGGGTTTTTGGTGACAGTTTTCACGAACTTTAATTTTCCTTGGTTGTAAGGTGCTGAAGTTGTATCACAACCACTCATTGCATGAAGAAACATGATGTATTCTCTTATGGTTTTGTTTGTCAGAGCATGCATAGGAGAGTAGGTGGTTGGAGGAACATTTCCCTTCCCTGGTTTCAGGAAGAATACGTTATCTCGTAGACAAAGACCCGTAAGGATGACCAACAGGTCGATGTCCTCTCCAACAACCATCACCTCAGTCTCAGTACGTTCAGCCAAAAGACAGGGCTTCGTTGACAATTACGGTATCGGCATCTTCTGAGGCCTGTCTCCATTGAGAATGTAACTTCCCTATGATCATGGAAATCAATCTTCTTTTGTTGTTCGTATTGGATACGAATTTTTCTTTCTTTATGGTCGGTATCATGTTCTCATCGAAGAGAATGTCTGCGGAAATCGATTTCATAGACCTCTTCAACCGTTCAGCACTTTTTGTTCTACCTTTCGAACCTTCTGGATATCCATCGAATACAACTACTGTTTGTGTGTAACGACGTAGTCAACATACCTGTTACATATTGCAGAAAAGGATTGCTTCTCGGGCAAAAAAACTTTGTGTAGTAAGAATCCACCGTCGATGACATATTGCACTTTTCCGCAGAACGACTTATTTTTTATGAGTTCGACTGCTTTGTTCCCTTTCTTAAACCATTTTCAAATGGGGAGAAGGAGTACGGACCCAGATCGTAGGACAAGAAAAATTTAGAACTTTAGATCATTATACATACAAAACACGATTTCATTGAATCATTTATGACCAACAGTATCTGTGAATTTCACTAGATATGGGAATATGGCCTTTTTTGGCGCTCTCTAGCGGCAGAACAATTAGTCGTACAAAAAAATGTTATGCATGAAAAAATCAGGAAATTTTATCTCCTTTCATTTTATACAGAATGATCTTGTCGAAAAAATGCTTCCTTTCTGAGATATAGGCCAAAAACTGAAAAAAGTGTCAAAATTTTGGCAAAAAATGCCAAAAAAACAAAGTTCCGGGCCAAAATTTTGCCAGCAAACTTCAAATTCATGATCAGCAACCCAAAAAACATGGGTAACGAGAAAATCAAAACTATAGCAAAACTTTCCTCTGAACCCCCTTTATTTTCCTAATATGCTTAGCCTATCTCCTGGTTCTAATAAGCTACCTCCCCACCAATTCTCCACCAAATCGATCCAGTAGTTTCGGAGCCTATTCAATACATACAAACAAACAAACAAACAAACAAAAAACCAGTAGTTTGTCTATGCATTCCCAAACCAACTTCTAGTTGATGTTGGGTTGTAGGGTGAACTCAACGATTTGATGGCTGCTTATTAGCTGTCGAAGAGGATAACGAATTTCTGTGAAAAAGTCTTTCAAATATATTTTATTCAGAAAAATACCAATTTACAAAATGGGGGATTACATTACATAATAAACAAGAGTTAGTAACAAAGTCAGCTATAGAAATGTTTTCATTTTCTGTAATTATCCAAGTGAAGCGTCGAAAAGCTAATTAACTCACATTATTTCCAGACTCTCCCTTCGTAGGGAATCACGAATATGGCGACACCAACAGATCCCCGAACATCCATTCGGTCCTTCATCCCAGCATAAACAACATCAGTTTCACCAGAGACTCGCTGAAAAAGTCTCCAAACATCCTACATAGCATCAACAACACCGGCGCGAAGCCCAATCAGGTGCCGCTGTTGAGCAATCCGAGGAGCCAGTTCCTGAAGAAGTTGGAGAGGAACGTCGTTGTGGAGAACATTTTCGCTACGGGAGATCCTGGACACGTTTTCGATAGCGGCGCACCCTCCTGGCTGAACAGCTTCACCACCAGCCTGTATAGGAAGAAGGAGATGAAGACCAGGAGTGATGATTTCAGTTTACCGAATCTACCAGGAGGTATGTTCATTCATAATAGTGATAGGGTAGTTGTCGACGGGTTATAGAATTGCTAATGAATTTGATCTTCACACTGTGCCCAAGATAAGTAGAGTTAGTACACGGTGTGTCCAAGATTGATTGTCTTTATTACCCCAAGAAACGTTATTGTTTATTTTTTGAACTGACTCGGCCGTTGCTTGATGGAAATCCATGGCAAATGTAAAAACTTCACGAACGATGAGATTTCCACAAAATGTTGTGGAAATCGTATCGTTTGTTAACCCAGCGAGCACAAACATCTCTGGGATGTTTTGGGATGTTTTGAAAATGTTGGTATGAAGATGTCATTTTGAGACGTGATATGCACTGACCAAAGAGGTCTTCGAAGGATATTGAAGTATTGTTTTTGTTCTTCTGTGACATTTCTTTGTTTGCCTACTGAGAGGTATCCCTGGGATGTTTTGGGATGTTTTAGAAATGTAGGCATGAGGATATATGCGTAATATGCACTTCCCAAAGAGGTCTTAGAAGGATATTGAAAGTATTGTTTTTGTTCTTTTGTGCCCTTTCTTTGTTCGCCCCACCACAACGTCTCATGCTTACGTCACAATACGATGAATTCTGATTTGTTTTCGATTTTGTTTTTCTTGTTCGCAATTGGCATTCGCGTTTGCAGCGTGTCACGCTTACATCACGCTGCTAACGAACAGAAAGGAATTTGGTGAAGTTTATTGTGTTAGAAGACTTATTTAGTTTGTAATAATGACCATCAGATGCAAGATGTGTTATTGTTCGGTGCCTCAGTGTAATCAATATATAAAAGTACGAATTCATCAATACACAGCTTCTCTGCAGTTGCAAAATTATGCATTGTGGAGAACATTCCAAAAATTGGGAAACCTATTTCCAATTATATGTCTGTGTGTAATAAGCACTACACAGAAACCGATTAAGAAGGTAATTTCATATCAAGAAAATATTCTTATGTTCAATCTATTTCAAATGCATTTTTTCATTCAAGAGAAATGGAATCCTAATGCGAAAGTTCATTTTGACAAAAGGTTCCAGAAAAGTACCTCAAAAATGTCTTTTTTACAGCGATTTAATGTGCGCAAGATGCGTTGAAAATGTTCTGTTGTGTCCATGAAAAGGCTTTATAAAAAGAACTAGAGAGAAGGTAGTTTTGTGACATATCAAATCAAGGATATCTCGATAATTGCCGCCTGCGGCGGACATTGGCTGTTCTATATAGTTCTGTTCATGTGTGAACAGAACATCGCAGTGGAGGTTCAATGTCTCGAAATCTCGTACTTTTAACATCTCTGAGATGTTTTTGTGCTCGCTGGGAAGTTTTCACATTATTGTTTATAATAGGGATATATATTCAACAAAACATACATATAACATAATGAATAAGAACAATAATAACTGCACAATTACTGTTTTTCATAAAAATGATGAAATATAAAATGAAAATATGATAATCGATTCCAAGTAATCGTCAATGATTAGTAGATATGGAATTGAAGTTTACTGATGGAAAGATATTTCTTCAAAGTGATTTAAAATTTTTCTGCTCCTTCAATTCATTAGGTAAGAAGTATAAAATTATTCCACTATAGAATATTGATTGTTTACCAAAATTCGACTTAAAACTATTTGCTATCAATAAATTAAATTGCCTTGCTCCATGGGCGTGAATCGTATCAACTTCGTTGAATTCAAATTTGATATTTTCAATTCCTTCCTGACAAAATGAATTAAACAACAAATTTTGAGTTTATACAGGGTTACCGGTAATTCGAAACATTCCTTTGGTGATGTGATAGGGGAGGTGGTAGGGAGTGAATTCAACCCTAATATGGATTATGCAAAAGTCAATAGTTTTTGGAATATTTAATATTTTCTGTTTTTTCTCCAAAAGATAGGCTTCCAGGGATTGAAAGATAGTTTTTCGAAAATCTGCTGTACATTTTTTCAACCTTTCAACTAGAATACATGATCAACACTATGGTCTTATGTTTAGAATAACAAAATTACAGAAATAATTTAAATCAAAGATTAATTGTAGATAAAAAGTCGTATTCTTGTTTGAGGATTTTGGATTTTGACCACATTCTAACGGTTATTTTTAGAAAAATATCTAAACCACATTTGTCAAAAAATTGTTGAACCTTCCTTAAGCCAATAGCTATCTCACTGGGTACAAATGAAACTCAAATTGCTTGATACGGATTTGTTTTTTCAAAGGAATAGTATGAAACACACTTGGCAAATACCTATCAGTATTTATTTTCGGCAGTTTTCATTTTAGTTTATCTGCTCGAGGTATCCAAATATCATAACAAATTCTCCCGTTTTCAACATAAAAAATGGATTTTTTGTATCGCAAATTCGTATTTGTCCTGACACATTTCGTTTTCAAGATTCCTTGATTTTTTTTCTCCTGGTTGCTATCTTCTTTTCCAATGATTTTAATATTATTCCACTCTGCCATATGTTGTCCATCTTCAGTAAGGATATGTTCAGCTAGTTTCGATTTGTCGATGTCTCTTTTATTTATATTTATATATGTTAGACCTCCTCGATTAACCTACAGACAGTATTTAATACTTCCAACTTCAATATTCTGTTGGTATCTCAAAAACGAAGCAAAAGCTGGGACACATTATTATATGAAATTTATTTTCTAAAATATCACAAGGAAATCACTTCTTGGAGTTTGTCGCAATTATTCAGGAACACCCTGTATATCATATCATTATAAAGTCCTATATAATACCCCATTTCAATCATAGCTCCAATATCGAAAACTATATACTTTATCGACGAGAATAAAAAGCATATTTTTTTTTTCTGATACTTCACAGCCACTACTGGTCTTTGCAGAAGGAAAAAAAGGAGTTCACCAGAGAAGCATATGGACCATTCCAACGAAATAACACCGGTATGAGTTACAATTGAATTATTATGCTTACCCACTTCAATTGAAGTTATATTGTTGTTTTATTATCACTTTTTATTTATATAATTTAATTAATGTATACTTATATTTTCTTTTGCTAATCTCAAATTCAAGTAATTTTGTTTCGTAAATCTTATACAATATTTCACTTTCTATTGCAGAGGATTCATTCATCAACATCGCAAAAAACGTTATCACCAAAAAATTAAAGTTCTTCTTGTGCGAGTGTATATCGTGCTTTACAGAAATAGACAGTGATGGGTGGTTTGACTTTGACGAACTTGAAATATTTAGTGTGTTATTCATTTATTTTCAGAATTACAGATATATGAAGACAAAAAGAAAACGTAACACCTTAGACATTAGTTTGCCAAGTCTGGTCAGACAAAATGATGGTTACGTCGTCATATGATTGTTTATACAAGATTATTTTACACTAACATATTTTACTGGATTCTTTCATTCTTTATTTTTATTTTATTATCCGTGTCACTTCATTTACTGATATTGTTACTAAATAAATTATATATATTTGTATGTGCTATTTCTCATTTTCCTATACCCAAATACATCAGTAAGTAATAAAATACTACATCTGGAGTGTATTCCATAATGTATACTGTCAAAAGGTAAACATCTCTTTGGGGATGTGAGTTGATAACTTTTGATCAATCATCCCGATTTGAATGAAAATTTAACAATATGTCGATGTTCATATCCACAAAGCGAAATCCTTATCTTCAAGAAGACCTATATATATGAAAAAACTAGCAGGCAAGTAGATACACGAGGAGAACGCTTTGTAATACAGCAAAATAATTTTGCAATATTGACAAACCATATATGTAACGAAATTAGCATACCAAACTTCACCAGCGACTTCTACATCCAAAAATAGGGAGAAAAGTTCCAATGAACATGAGTCGATGAATGTCTCCTCAAGGGAGGCTACGCGCCCCCCTGAAAGGGGACCTCTGAAGATAACTTTTCTTGAATATTTACGAAACGTCATATGAAAAAAATGATGCAATTTGGTAGGAGAACTGAACTTTCCATTCCGTTCCATGCCTAACGTAGTGAGAGTTTTTTATATTTAGTGTTCAGCGAGCACGGAATGATAGTGATTTCCTACGAGAATGAAGTTTGTAGCATGATATATTCTGATAGATACGGAACAAACGCACCTTTTTTCTATAGAGGTGTGTATTTTCAAAATCCGAGATCTTCCACACATATGCCCAACCCTCTATTTTTCCATACTTCAAACAATGATATCTCCTCTCTTTGGAAGCTTCCCCTCTTTGTGCTGCTATATGTTGTCCAATCCAATTTTTGGAATGATTTTATTTTCACTCCATTGGGCATAGAAAGTTTAGTTCTTGTACCGAATTGCATCATTTTATTACATGGAGTTTCCGAAATATTCAAGAAATATCATCTTCAGGAGCACTTTTCCAGGATGACATTCTTCGACTCATGTTCATTGACACTTTTCTTCCTTTTTTTTGTCGTAGAAGCCGCTGGTGGAGTTTGGCAGGCTAATTTCCGGACACCCTGTATATTCATTTCAAATGAGTATCATATTGAAGCGAAAAAATATTTGCATATAGGTACCTGAACAAAAAAGGACCCCGCACGAAAACACGGGAAATTGGCTCTCGGTCGAATTGGCTGAAATTTTACTATGTTCTGGTAGGATGGCTCATTAAAAAAATATGTAAGTTCAAAAAGTTTTCTATGTTTAGTTTCTGAGATATAAGCCGAAAAAGTTCGTAAAAACGTCGTATCGGGGTAGGATTGACAAAGAATAGAGAATAGTGCTCGAATTTGTTTTCCGAAAAATGAATTTTTTGACCGTGCCTCGTATATACCCTGATTTACTATAATTTATTTGATTACAACTAGAGACATGTTTATGAGTTCCGATCAATACATTTTCTAGCTAATTTTGTCTTATTTATACTAAAAAAACAGTTTTTTTCTTCGTCAATCCTACCCCGATACGACGTTTTTACGAACTTTGTCGGCTTATATCTCAGAAACTAAACATACAAAACTTTTCAAACTCACATATTTTTCTAATGAGCCATCCCACAACAACATAGTGAAATTTCAGCTAATTCGACCGAGAGCCAGTTTCCCGTGTTTTCATGCGGGGTCCTTTTCATTCCATTCAACGAAATTTATAGTTCACATAAATAAGATTCCATTATTGATCCAACAATTATTTCATTGTACATTTGTATTTTGTCTATTTGACAAAATTAAATAAATTTGAATCAATACCTAGATATCTCTCTATATGTCGTACTTGATTCAACATCCCGCTGAATTTCCTTCAGATCAATAATACATTTTGTTGTTTGTTCACTGAATAAGAATAATTTTGACAAAGATAATTGAATATGCAGTGTGTGCGATGTTCAACTCACAACACCCTCCTAATTTGGAATACGTTGACAGATTTTCAAAACACAAAGTCCATGATAACGATCAGTTCTCTCTTCGGAAATATCCAGAATCTCATATCGAAGGAGTCAAGATTTCAAAATCGACTTCAGGCCATCTTTCCCCAAAATTTTAACTCAATATCTCAGTTATTCAGAGGCAAATCTTAATATTTTTGGTTTCTTAATTCACCCCCTATCAATATTTTATAACATGTGTAGTAGTAGTCAGTCAATAGAGGAACACTTAGAGGAATACTTAGATACGGAGTTTCATCATTGTAACTTCTACAGAGAAAGGTTTCTCTAGGAGGTCAGTATAGGTCAACCAAAACAAAAAACAGTCTGCAAGTACTATTTTTGCTTTTTCAAGAAATTTTTAGCATCTAAATAAGGTCAACTATCAAAGTTACTATCAGTTAATTATTTTGTAAGTAAAAAAAAATTTGCTGTTATCTTCCAGAATGTAATTCAACCAGTGAATTAGCAATGCAAAAATGTATTTTTCAAAATATTCCCTCGGAGTGTATTTGTCGATTTTTATCTTTTGTCTTCACCACCCTATATCTTGGAAACGGAGCAATTTTGTACAGACCTTTCAGGTACACCCTATATGGAAACGAAATACGTTTCCTTCATAGTTAGTTCATTTAATACCCATCAAATGGAATATGTATTCCAGAAGGCCATTGATTTGGATCTTTCAGCCATGTTTCCATTATTTTTGTGATATTTTAGATTTTTTTGAAACTAAAACTATTTTACTCATCAACTAACCTCTTAACCTACTTTATATCCTTTTCGTAATATATTTAGACCACACTTATAGTGCGAATTGGTCAGAAGGGTCCTAATTTCAATTTAATAAAATACTTTCAATTAAAAAAAAACGCACCCCCTGATTTTTTTTCTGGCGGCGCTAATGGACCGGAAGTGTAATATGGTTTAGATAATTTGTTATGTGATCAACAGATTTTGATCTATCAAAGAAGTTCAAATATTTCATATTATGAAAAGTAAACCAACATATTTTTCGATATATTTTATTTACATGGAAGCGTCATTACATAAAAAACATGATTTTTATGAAAATGAAATTATTGTTCTGCTTGGTGTTTACCAAAAATTTTTTTTTTGAAAACTGAGATAGGTGGAAAGTTATATCTATATAGGACAAAGATATTTAGAAGTAATAATCAATATAAACAATAAAAAAATTCTAGAAAACAGAATCAGTACAATCTCAGTCTATACCAAATATTTTCTATATTGTAAAAACCGTATTCATCAGTATTATAGGTACCCAATTGATAGAAATCAGGTAAACTGACTATTCAAATATAATAAGAAAACATTTTAAATGCCATAGCAATCACAGAACTCTATGGACTAAATAAGGCTATCAAGATGCCAGTAAAAAATTATTATAAGGCACACACACAAAATTATCAATATGAAATTTCAAATGCGCCTAGGAGAATAGTAACATATATACCAGATGTCAGATCAGAGCGGGATATATTAAAAATGTATCTTATATGATGAATGTGAACAGTGCCAACGTCAACCGTTCATATATAGTAATTTATCAACATTACCTGCAAATTCAAGAGAACCTAAACGGACACAATAACATTCAACACAAGTGAAATTTCATCCAATTAATTTTTTCTCAGTTATTCTAGTCAAAATAATAAAAGAATACTATTTGCTGCACTCCAGAAGTTCATCGATTGCTTCTGAAAAGAACCTAGGACAAGGATGCTCCAAAGTTTCTCCACCAGTCAATGGTTGCTTCTGATGGAATGAAATCATTTCTCCTGAAATAAATAGGTGGTTGAAATAAACTGATCTACTAAAATTTTCATTAATGGAGACGAAGTGTCAAAGTGAGGAAATCCTGAAAAGTTTGTGAAATGATTCACATAAGTATATATAGAAGAATGTCTTCAACTCATGTGGATCAAATATTCATACAAAACTTTTGAGAATAATTCATTATGAGAACATGCCGTGATTTTGTAAAAATCTTATCCTCCCTATATAATTGACGAATAACAATTAGAAATGCAGAAGCTACTTGAATACATATTCGTAATTCGGCTACTATACAGATTATTTATTAAGAAAGGATGGCATTTGGCAATAAAGAAGCAGTGGCGTACCAAGGACTGTACCCTGGGGGATATAGTTTTTTTTTGCAAAACATATTTTCATTCTTGATTATTGGTAACTACAATAATTTTGAGCATTACAGAATCAAATATGCTGAGCTCCTTGACTGAGAACAACTTCATCAATTATTTCTTCAATAGGTAGGTGACTACCCCTCTATGAATTGACAGCATCGCTAGTCCATAATGGACTAGTGGTGCCAACCTATTTTGATAGAAATTCCCATTTTTTTCAATGTTTCACACATATTTGTTTTCGTTAAAAATGTGTGCCCAAATGGAAATAAACACTACTTCGGTCGATATTTATGATATTTTCCACATTGAATTTGATAAAACTTGGAGAATGAAAATGCTTCCATGCTTCACTGTCACTTGTTTTATGTTTTTGTGATCTGTGTTCTGTGCATGGAACATGAAACGATTACGGCTACAGAACACCAAAACATTTTAACATAAGATGGTACAGACAGAGATAAGTTAACTCATCTCTGATGAGATAAGTCAACTTATCTCTGGGTTGTTCACATTGAGTTCAATGATCTCTGGTACAGACTAGCAGCAGCTAGCCAAGTACGAAAATTCCCATATTATGAGTTTATTTGGTTTTTCCCTCTTTTTCCCATTTCTATATTTTTTCAACAAATATTCCCATGATATGGAAAAATTCCCACAGGTTGGCATCACTGTCAAAATATTTAAGCCTTGCGCGGTATAATATTCCTTGGATACGTTTTGATGCATTTCAAAGGATATTTTTGATGTCGCAGTAGTGGACACTGACAATGTGCTGACTTTTTCCAGAGGTTTTTTTTTTAGCTCCAAACATTTATTCAAATGTTCGTGTCACATTTTGCTTTCCGCTTTGATAATTAGGAATATCAGGTATGGATATCAATATATCTATCTGATACTGCACCGAGTAAATAAAATTCGATATCTTCTTGGGTGGATTTGTTCCAGAGATTCAAAATGTTTATTGAAAGGAAGATAAGCGGACTTTTCATTCAGCTGTAGTGAGAAAAGACTTCCTTCAGTTCCAACTGCTGACGTAGAAGCCACCCTACCATCATGGGAGATTTTTCTTTCCAAAGATTTTGATAAATCGCCTCGTTAAATGTTTATAAATTTCGAAGTACACTAAAGGACGAGGCGGAGACCGAAACGCAATCTGGGACCTGTTTATATATCTATATAATAGACGGCAAATTTGAAACACAGATAACAATATTGTTATCAGTATTCAACAAAATTAAATTAAATGAAACTATATTTTTCTGCAACCGACACAAAAGTCGTCCATTTTGATACCAAAATTAGTTCTTAAATTGACGTTTCTATTACTGACACAAAAATAGGTATGTTGCTAGGCAACATATTTAGTTCCTAGGAGCTAAAGTTGAATTTTAGTTCCTAGGAGCTAAAGTTGAACTTTAGTTCCTAGGAGCTAAAGTTGAACTTTAGCTCCTAGGAACTAAAAAGGATCTACTGGACGTGATCAAGAATAAACAACATTGTGACGGTTGGTTATTTGGGTTGAGACGCATACCTACGTGATTTGTTTCCGGTTTCAGCAGATTTGGCATTTCATACCCATGCTGGAGATATAAATACACCTTATTATAGTTTATATAGTATTGGAATTATAAACATCTCAGTTAAAAGTATTTTTGTTTTGATCATGGAAGCCTTCAAGATTCAAATACTTGCTTGATGTGTATTTCATTCATTATTCTCGGGATGGATAACTTGTTTTTGAATAATCACGGCAAGCAATAGTTTTTTTGTCTCAAACAATGATATTGTTTAGCTTCATTTGATTATCAAGTCAAACACAGTGTAGTATGGAGAAGAATAAATAATCACTATTATCATTGTTGATATGCTCACTAACCTAACATTTTCCACGTCTAGTTCCGCACTGGCGCGGTATTTGCCATTAGAGCACCTGGTCCATACACAAATATGTCACTCTGTGGTTGTATTTATATTGAAACTACAATTCGAACATCCTAGAAAACCTAACCTGCTGTTGATGCAGGTAGAATATTCTCACCACATGAATTATTTGTCAATATTTGTTGCATTGCATACATATGGCACGGCATTGGTGGTTACTTCACACGTTCATTTGAGTTAATTGTTTCGGTTGCAGAAAAAATAGCAAGTTTTGCTTTCGCTCGGCTTCGCTAAAAGCTCCGCCTCACAAATGCAAGATTCGCTTGTCAAACAAAGTGTCACTTTTGATCCTAATAAAACATTCCACTATTATCCTGGACGAACTAACCTATTTGGAATTGCAATATTTTTTGAGGAAGGAAACCCAGAATTAAATAAAAACACATACCAGTTCAGTTCTTCAACGAAATTGTATAAGATAAGAATATTTATTCCAAACGCACTAACATACTTGACATTATCCATATTGTTGAGGAAGGAAAACCAGAATGAAGTAAAAAAACGATAATTATGATAATATTCAGCAACTATTCGGCAGAGCGTCATTGTGGTGGGTAAACACTCAAACACTGCACCGTCTACTTGAAATCGAATGGACTAGTCGAACAACCTAAACTCATTACATAAAATCAACCAACCCAACAAATATTATATCGGGGAATCATAGCCCAAGACCAAAAATTCCAGCGAAAGTTGAGACAAAAACCGAGAGGGCACCAAAAACAAAAAAGCGCATACGTATTGAGCTAGTCTCACACAACTACCAACGACACGGAATCCTTATAAACTTGAGAACTTATACGTGGTGTCTTTTTATCGGCATCGGGGGAGATATATGCTTTTTATCCCCCCTTAAGTATGCCACTGCATAGCAGTTACGGAGAGCAACGCTGGCCGTTAGACAGTTGGGCACATAATGCATTATAGTTTTCATTCTGTTTGGATACTCCAGAAGAGACTGGCGAAGACGTACGGTAGCCAAATCAGTATCTTGCTATGTTGCCATTCACATGCCCTACGTATAACGATTCGTCAAACAATCTACTGTATACTATATTCCAGGTTATTCTTCAGACAGGTATTACTATGGAGATTATCTAGGATACAGGTAATTGTAGAGAGAGTTACATACTATAATTCGAACCCGTCAAAAATCATATAAGTTTTTGAAGATACTTCAATAAAGGCAGCTCTGCCTTGCAACTCACCTAAGGTATCGTGTTCGATTTGGTTATTTCCTATAAAACTATACTTGGGCACCGCGCTGACTAAGTAGTGCTTGCATTTTTCCTTCGCCCTGTAGGATATGGCGTAGCCCCATATCTTTTCCGACAGTCTCACCAAAAAGGAGCCGCAGGATTGGTCCAGCAAGAGTTTTTCAGCATTTTGCCTCGTGATAAGTCCTGTAGAAATACAAAGAATTGATAGAATATATCTAGCTTTTCGAACTACAAGTTGAACTCGGTCTGTTTCTATTGAGTTCTTCTACAGCTGAACATTCAGATAAAGAAGTATATGAGGAATATTGAACATGGAATGAATAGTATCTACAAATATACTGACCGTGAAACCATGGTAGTGCATTCTTATCTGAATCTAATCCAGCTAATCGAGATTTCTCCTCATTTCTGTACCATTCCAGTACGGCATTTCTTCCGGGAGGTGCTCCACCAATTAAAGAGGTATTACAAGAGGTATCCATTCGGCAGGGGGAGGAGGAGGAATTCAATTTGTGTTCTTCTCGGGCCCTTCGTGCGATTTCTCTGATTTGCTGCTCAGCTTCCTTGGCTTTTCTCTCTGAAAATCAAGTGTTGAAACATTTAGTTAAGCTCCACACACTGTTTTACCACTAACCAAACCAACTTTTTACACCTCGACGCGTGTTTCGCTAAAAATGTTAGCATCTTCAGGAGAAGATTAAAACTCAAAATTCAGTTCATTCATCTTATGTTCATGAGTGCGCTGATACTATCCGTACTCCCGTTGGTCGAGCTATAAACTTTTCGTCTAGTGATTTTTGAATACCACTTTATTCCCTAGGTGTATAATGTAAAATGCATGCAATACAATGCAATACAACTATTCAAATCTTGGCTCTGACCGAGAATTACTACAGAATGAATAGTTGAACTATGATTCCATGATTTTAATGTACCATGAAATATTCTTCTTCCTCACCTTGTTCCTTCCAGAACTTCTCCTTCCTCTTCTCTTCCTCCTCAGCTTCCTGAGCCACCTGCTGCTGCTTCCTCTGAATTTTCTGAAAGATCTCGCAGGTCTTATCATTCAAGAACTTTTTCTCCCACAACGCCACCCTTTGCGCCACGTTCTGAGTATTGTTCTTCTCCTGTTGATTACCTTTATCACTGAAGCTGAATTTGCTCCTCGTGGGATAGTGATTCAGAGTGTAATTATCAATGATCCTAGGTTTGGATTGGTGATGAATCTTGGCTTGGATTTCCTCCACTGAACAGTAGATGTCCATGTCGTCTTCTATCCTTAGCGCTGGAAGGGGCAGCTCTTCGATCTTGGGGCTGAGGTCGACGTAGTCCGAGATGAGCTGGGCGTTCATCCTGACTTCCTCCCTCATCTTGGCAGTCTCTTTCTCAGCGAGTTTCCTAGCCTCTTCTGCCGCCTCCATCCTCAAGATATCTTCTATGCTCTGGTCGTTTTCGTGTTCTCCCATCACCCACACCCAAGGTTCTCCGTCTTGGCCTTTGAGGAAAGACACCTGCTTGGAGGAACTCCGTGGTTTGTGAGCGGTGGATTCGTTTGGGGACTTGTCGTTCCATGCTGTCCACCGTCTCACTTGCTCTTCTCGCATTTTGCAGAACAGGGTTTGTTTCTGGTTGTCGTCGAGTTCGGCCAGGATCTCTGGATCGACGTACATGTTGTGGAGGATTTGTTGCAGCATCTTGATGACTGGAACAGAAGAATAATGTTATCGATTTTGATTGGATATGAATGAAGATACGTAGATACATCGAGAGGTCCTGTTATGGTAATAGGTCTTGGTACACAGGGACGGGTGGGGAAGGGGAAAGGGGTGGAGGGGTCCATTCCCTTCAATTTCAGGCGAGTTGGAGAATTGAGTTTGGGAGAGTTCCACAAAAAAACGTTACATGGTAAATATTTGTTTTTTCTGGCTTCAAACTAGAGATTTCCCACTTCTTGAGAATTACCAGCTTCAGAACATAACATTTCAGTTTGTTGTCGGAAACAAACGATTTACAGGGTACTTAATCATTTGTTTCAAATGGGACCCCCCCCCCCTGGTATCTCATTCCACAATGAGTTAGAGATGTCATAAATAAATCCAGCAATACTGGATATGATGGGGTTATGTCAAACGACTACGAAGATATAGTCGATTTTCTTGTATATTATCATTCATCATTTCAAAAATTTGATGGAGAGCTTATTCGGACATTCTCTACACAACTGGAATGTTTTCGACAATACGGTGTTGCCACTTCTATAAGAAAGTAGCAGCAACTTTGATATTTCATCAATGTATCTATCATACTTAGAGTCTAGCATGAACTATTCAAAATCGAGATTTATTAACTTAAGGATTTCTTGTGCCGAAACAATTCATTATCAGTCAAAACGACTTTTATGTCCCTATCTAAACTTGAAATGCACTATTATACTGACAAATAATTGGAATACATACAGGGTAATCAGAATTTTGAATCTTGTGATACATTGATGCAATCAGCTTTCCAGGGTGCATCTAAATATGCACTGGAATACAGGGTGTTCCATATCAAAGTTTCTACTTTCTTATTGAAGTTGTGAACACTATATTGTCGAAAATATTTTGGTTGGGTAGAGAATGTCCGGATATGCTCGCCATCAAAATGATTCAGTGAATCAGCCTGATGTATATGAAATATTGACTAAATATTCGTAACCGTTTGACAAAACCCCATCAAACCTTGTATCGTTGAATTCATTTTTGAAATCTCTAACTGGTTGAAGAATGAAATACAGGGTTCTAGTAGTTCTAAATCAACTAGTATCCTGTAGATCGTTCGTTGCGAGCTCCCTGTATTTTCTGATGTAGGTAGGAGGCAAAAAAATCATTCAAATGATTTTTCAAATTTTGAAATCGGTTCAAAAATAATTGAGCTACAGGGAGGAAAAAGTATCGCTTATCACTGTACATCATGGTCCGAATTCAGAAGAATGTAGTGAAGATGTATGATAAGTTACAACCTAAACCAGTATTGGGTTTTCAGGATCGACAGAAACTGCAAACTGGCAGATATTATATCGAAGATGTGGAATCATACAGCATGCAATGACAGCAAAGATTAACTAGCAGATACCTAGGAAAGTGGACTAATTTATTTTAATTTCTTGAATAGGATCACCACTCAAGTACCTTTCTATTCCATATTTTTTTAGAATTTTTCGGTCGATTTTGAGTTGCTAAAAGCATCAATAATGCACCGGTAATTTTCAAACGGCTAGAAATTAACCGCGAATAAAAACTGACGTCACGTTTTCGTGAGTAGGGGCAGACCATACCACAGTTGCCATATGTTCAAATACGATTGGGAACTTCAGACATAGGTATAAGTTATTCAATGATTCATAGATTCTCAATTATGGATTGATAATATTCCTAATTACCAATAAAACATTAATTATCGTCTCAAAATGTTCCCTCATGTGTTGTGGCTTATTGCTTATAATAAATCTGTGTAACTAATAATTATATTAATTCATACTAGACGACATTTGAACTGGTGAACGTGACAACACGGCGCACGAATTGTGGGCGTGGTCTTGTTAGTTCTCAGTATTCAGAACAATGTTGCCAAGTCTGCAACATTCACAGGATATTTTGTTAGAGTAGAAGAAATATTTGAACATGCCGATTGCTGTAAAAAGTCAAGAATGAACTATAATATCATGGGTTCCTCCTATTATTGTTTATTCAACGATAGCACTCTCAACATCTTTTTGATAACTTGATTATAATTCGATAGAACTCACCCAAACTAGCTCACCACCGCAAACCGTTTATTGTTGTGGGCTCCCTACGTTTTATAAAAAATTATTGAAATCCCCAATTTTTCGGACCTCTGAAAACGAGGCGATGATGTGACGTCAAAACCCTAATACTGAAACAAGACTATTCCAGACAGAGCTGAATGATACATGATTTCTGACAAAGCACCAAGATTGGTGAATCGGCAGGTTGATTTTTGGGACAAAGATAATAAGAACAAGAAGAAGATCAATTCTAACTTATATTAACTTTTTGCAGCTCCATGTAAAACGGGTCAACAAAGCAATGTTGCTGCGTTTATGAAATATATTGGATTATTGTGAAATTGTAATGGTGCAAATGTTTTCGAGATTGAGACATTTCGTTGTCTAGAGATTGTTTATATTCCGATGATTCAACCTACAATCGACAACTTGAATATATTTTTCTGCAGTAGTGGTAGTGGATATCAAAAGATATAATATCGAGTTCGATCTCTCGGATATTTTGTTTGGATGATATGACAACAGTGATAAGTGTCAGTTTTAACTATGGCGAGATGAGGTTTCTACGTCATAAGAGGGTCCGTTTTCAGAAGGTACTATTATTTATGTCCAAAAATAAAACATTCCAGTAAATTTTTCGATCGAATTAGGTCGTCAATCATTATTTATGTATCAAAGGATCATTTTAAACATGAGTTGAAAGTTCTACTAAGGTGTACACGCCCATTGGTGACTTGGGAAGCTTGCTTCATGAGTGGGAATGGAAGATTACCTGACCAATAACGAAACAGAAAAAGAACTGACGTCACTATTTATTCGACGTATCGCTGAACATTGCCAAATGGCGGCCATGACGGTACGTTTGAAATGAGCTCCACTCGCCCATTCTAGTCATGTTTGCCAAATTCATAAAACATTTGGAGGAGACGGTGCACGTGGGAGGACAGCATCTTGATAGAATCATTTTTAACGAATAAATTTCCAAATTGTGTAGTTAATTTTATGAATAAAATTATGTTCTACATCTTAAACTATATGAGTAAATAATAGTGCTACCATCAATTCAATGAGGTTTTAAATAGATACATCCATTTAAGAATCGCCTAATCATGAATATAGACCTTGCAGTTGGTTATATTGAATGCGGAAGGAAACAAACCTCGTATCGCAAGTTCATGACTATCAGCAATTACATATTAGGTAATTTAATATTCTATTGTTAACCTCATCAACATACTTTTACTCATTTTTCACTTTTAATTCACGAAGAAAGTTCATGCATTATACATCACAAATAATCCTGTTATATACAGCAATTTATTATGACATTCTACATTGGCGTGACCAAAGATTATAAATATGGATTTTGAATCATCTAATAGCCGATTTGATTTGAAATATTTAATACTAGCTATCCGGCATAAGACATTTGTTGCAGTCGGTCTGCATTTTAAAATGTTTTGTTAATTAGTTATTACTTCAAGAAAGGTATGTACTTTCTCAGCTGACATATTGTCTTAGATTTTAAAATCTTTGTAATTTTCAGGTGATTCTTCCTTACTATTTTGTCTGAATATGGGCATGGTGCCGAAATTTTGTGGTCGACCGACTTTGAGTTTGTTTCTTATTTTCCTCCTTTTGAAACGAACAAATATTTCCTATTGAAAAGGAACATTCTCAGATATATTGATGAACACGAAAAAAAAAAATGGATATATATACAGGGTGTCCCACTAAGGTCGGCGAGGTACGATATTTTTTTTTTTATTCAAGAATTCACGAAGTCAAGACGTATTTCAAGTGAGCTCCTGTGAAATATCTTATATCTTTGGTTATAGTTATCGTAAAAATATCTGGTTTTTACAAAACTTCTGTGTTTGAGCTGGTGAGTCTTTTTATGACTATCCTGATAAACGAAAGTAGTTGTGAGTGCGTAATACAGCAGAATCGTGTTTTCTACAACATACGGAATACGAGTAAAAACGAATCCCAAAAAACTAATGACCCGTAGCATTCACAAAACATTCTGAACTATTTGTCTATTAGTACGGTCGATAGGGTACATAAAATGCCACTGAGTGACGGCGCCGGAGTAACCTTGCTTGATCTACACAAGATATTACAGAACCTGGATGCAAAATCAGATAAAACTCAAGAAACATTGTGCGAAATTAAATCTGAACTTTTGGCAGCAAACAATAAAATAGTATCTCTCGAGGAAGAAAATACCAAACTAAAAGAGAGAATCTCCCAGTTAGATAGCAGATCACGAAGAAACAACATTCTTGTTTTTGGGTTGCAGTCTGCTACTCCGCTTGAAGGTCTATACCAATTCAGAGATACTTTGGAAATCGATCTGGATTTGAAAGACATCAACAATATTTATTTTTTTCCTGCGAAAACGAATAAGGAAAAAGTATTAAAACTCGAACTGTTATCATATTTGAAGAAAATTGAGATCCTGAAAAATCTTCATAAATTGAAAAACAAAAACTGGTACGTAGTTGATGATCTGAGTCCTGAGGATCAAAGCATAAACAAAGCGTTACGACAGCACCTTAATCGAGCAAAGCAGAATGGGATTCAAGCAACAATAAGACGTAATCATCTGATTGTGAATAACTCAAAATTCAGCCTTGAAGACCTAGAGTTGGACCCTTCCATTACCAAAGAAAAACCCGTGTCATCGGCGACACCAAGTGTCGCGGATGAAACAAACTCCAGAAGGAAACCCCCTCATAGGGCTGCAAAAGGTTTTAATTAGCGTTTATGAGTTTAATTTTAGGTCACTCATTTCCATTTGTTCTTGCTGATTATTATTGTTCATATATATATATATATATATATATCGCTTGTAAAAATAGCTAACTGCTGTTTTTAAAAAATAAATGTGCCTCCTCAAATTTTGAAGCTTTCAAATCTTATACCTAATAGATAATGCGTAACATTAAAATCTGTCACATCAACACTAGATCTTTACTGAACGGGTACGCAGAATTTAAACTGAGAGTATATAATAATTATGATATTATCACCGTTTCCGAGTCATGGCTTTCGGTGAATATACCCAATGAAAATATTTGTCTCGCGGGCTATCAATTATTTCGCAAAGATAGGGAAATCGGAAGGGGTGGAGGTGTTGCAATTTATATTAAAAATATTTTTAAAGCCACTCTGATTGTCAATATACCATCCGAATCAGTTGAACAAGTATGGATCACGTACACTCTTAATGGAGTGAAATATGCCGTGGCCTCCATGTATAGGCCTCCAAACCTACCACTGCCAAACTTTTTATCATCTTTCGAAGATATTTTATCTGTTATCTGTCCCAGATTCGAAAATATAATTTGCGCAGGAGATCTTAATATTGACTACGCAGATCCCACAAACAGCTCTTGTGTTCAGCTGAATGAAATAATTGCTCCTTTTGGCTTGAATCAAATTGTTGATCAGCATACTCGATATTCTTCAACTAGCTGCAAAATAATAGATCTCATAATTTGTTCAGAAACACTGAGTGTAACTGACTGTACTACGCTTGATTGTTCTTCTTTTTCAGATCATCTTCTTGTATCGTGCAAAGTAGGTTTGATAAAAACATTGAACGATAATTTTATGTACACCTTCAGAGATTTCAGGAAATTTAACAAGGAATTATTTCTCGCAGATTTGCATGCAATCAATTTTGATTCCATTTATGAGCTAGACAATATTGATGATAAAGTCGTTCTGTTCACTAATTTGGTTCTCAAACTTTTTGATGAACATTCGCCTATAAAAACCGTTAAAATTACCAAGAAAAAAGCACTTTGGATAACGGATAATCTGAAGTTCATGTTCAAACTCAGAGACAAAGCTCTGACGAGATTCAAAAGAACAAAGGCTCCACAACATTGGAATTATTATAAAGAAATAAGAAATCTCACAAACCGAACCGTAAATCTTGAAAAAAGGGCTTACCTAGACTATCGCTTGAAAAGAAGTAGGCAATTATGGAAAGAATTGGCTGACATGAACGTTCACAACAAAAAATCACGAAATTCTATCCCTGAGCACCTGATGAATGCTGAGGAAATCAACAATTTCTTCGGGAGTGTATCAAATAATGACTCTGTACCTGATGATGAAACGATCCGTTTCTTTTCTGGTAATACAGCAAATAATCATGATAATTTCTCTTTTCACGAAACTAATGACCATGAAGTATATAAAACTATACTAAGTATACATTCAAACGCTGTTGGACATGACAAGGTAAGCATTCAAATGTTACTACATTGCTGTCCCCTGATATTGCCACATATAACCCACCTATTCAATTTCTGCATACAGAAAAATGTTTATCCAGCAAGTTGGAAACGTTCGCATATTCTTCCATTAGCGAAAGTTGCTAATGCAGAAAATATGAGTGACCTTCGCCCAATAAGCATTTTGTGTGCAATCTCGAAAGCTTTCGAAAAGATATTGAATGCTCAGATGCGTATATACTTGAATGAATTTGACATATTACCATCCTGCCAATCAGGCTTTAGATGTGACCATAGTTGTACCACCGCTCTTCTGAAAGTGATTGATGATATACACATCTCTATTGATAACAATGAATTGTGTCTACTAGTATTGCTCGACTATTCTAAGGCTTTTGATCGAATCAATCACCAACTTCTTTTATCAATTCTTAGTTACCTGGGGTTCACTATGAATGCCATATCTCTACTCAAAAATTATCTTTTCAACCGATCTCAAAGCGTTATCATAAACAGTGAAAAATCTAAATCACTAGAAATAAAGAACGGTGTTCCTCAGGGATCAATTTTGGGCCCTCTTCTTTTTGTTCTCTACACTTCACAATTCGCAAAGTCCTTACGTTACGCTTCAATGCACTGTTATGCTGATGACACGCAGATGTATTTAAATTTCGAAGAAAACTCCTTCAACCTGGCACTTGACCAAATGAATCATGATTTGAATACTCTCATAACCGTTTCAAATAAATACTGCCTCACTGTTAATAAATCCAAATCATACGTTATGCTTTTCGGAAGGACAGCAGCAAGAAATCGTTGCAAGAATTTTTTGAATATTCGTGTTGACGGAGTCCCCCTACCCACCGCAGATACAACGAAAAATTTGGGATTGTACCTTGATAATGCATTACGCTTCACTACACACGTTTCTCATATTTTAAAACAGGGTTATATGAATCTAAGAACGATCTATTCAAACAGAAATTTTTTGAATAAAAAAAGTAAAATGATACTCTGTGATGCTTTAGTGTTATCACATGCTAATTATGCAGACGTGGTTTATGGACCGGGGCTGATGAAATCGGACAAAATGAGACTACAAAAATTGCAGAACTCATGTGTGAGACTTATTACAGGCACAAGAAAGCGGGAACATGTTACGCAACATTTAAGGAATCTTGGATGGCTGAACATGGAGGCTAGGCGTACACTACACTCCAGTACGATATTTCATAAAATAATAACAACTGGGAAACCTCCTTATCTATTCAAGAAACTGACTTTCAGAACTGACATTCATAATCTCAACTTAAGATTTCGAAATAATTTGACTGCGCCTAAACACAAAACCTCCTTTTTTCGTGGCTCATTTTCATTCCAGATCGCTCGCCTTTACAACCGGTTACCCATTGATTTCAAATTATTACAAATGAAAAAATTCAAAAAAACTGTGAAGCAATATTTATTTGATAACAATTTTCCAAATTTCTTATTATAATATGATAATTATAATGGCATATTTGAATCGGCACATCACTTTTTCTCCGCTTATTTGTACTGATCACTGTATTTTGATATATTTTTTTTATGAATAGTATTTTCTTTTATATTTATATTATCGAGTATAGTTCGATTTTGATTTTTTTTTCGGAGCAGTTGAATAGTCTACAATATTCTATTGTATGTACCTCATAATATTATTTATTATGAATTTATTATGATAAGTTACTCCACTGGTTGGATGGAAGAGCAATTCCTGCCATGAGCAATCATGTGCAGGCATTGAATCCTGCCTTTTGTTAGGATATAAGCTGATTGCTGTACCTACAATAAAAGCATTTATTATTATTATTATTATTATTATATTATGGAAACCATCAACCTTACAGCTACGGGAAAATAATCTATTGACAAAATCGGCGATGACAAATTGATTCAAAATATTTTCAAGTTTCTAAAATGACCGCTAGGGGGCGAAATCACCATGATACAATGAGAAATTCGAATTATCTCAGAAAATCACTGTGTAAGGTGATTTTTTGATAACGGAAATGATAAGATTATCAATTTTTAGTTCTGCTGTTCCTCAGACTTTTTTTCGTATCTTTAATAATAATGGTGGGGGAAGCTTGTGAACAAAATATTTTTCAAATTGCTGTATCTTCCATACCCCTTATCCAAATTCAATCAACTTGGGCTCGTATTGAAGATAATTTCACGCTCATTCAAAATCCGACTTCGTTTACGGTCGCTAGTTCATACCGCGTCTCATAGAATGCGTCGTTTACCGACTATTAGATTTTTCTGGATTTTCACGATAAAAATGATACATGTTTGGCATCAGTGGTCTCGAAGAGCATGGAAATGCCTACATTCTGGCGCAAACCGCGATTCGATAGCTTCATCTGTCTTCGAGTTATTGTTTCCATAATATCGTACCTCGCCGACCTTAGTAGGACACCCTGCATAAAGAAATACATTGGGAATACGCATTCTCCATGTGATGAAAATATCAATTCTTTCACGGTTTATTCAACAGAAAACAACTACTTTCCTGGCTATATGCCACGACAAATATAGAACTACATCTATTGAACACACACGATGAGAATTTGAAAACAAAATCTTCTTGTTACAGATATTATCACCCTGTATTTTGTTTTTGCTTTGGGATCAAGGAGTTTAGTGACAAGAGAGACAGGAATAAATGTTATAAATAGACGTATTGTAATATTTTCATCTGCAATACAGTTTTTCGTTTATGAGTCATTATTTAATTCAGTCTAATTCTATAAGACACTTATCAGCCATTTATAAGCCAAACATTGGTGCCGAAACCAGGGAACAGCAGGGAATAACCGAAAAATCCAAAATAATTATTTTGACATTAATTTCTGTAATTGTGTCAGAAGGAAATATACAGAAAGATGGATAATACATCTAAGAAATCGCCGTCTGTGAGTGATTTCAGAGGATTCGAAAGATCAGGAAACTCTAAAGGTTTAGAGGAAAAATCTATAGCAGCATCAATTTTGAAGAAATCAAGTCAGTCAAAGTGCATAGATTGCGTGTCTAAATCGAGCAGAAGTAGTAAGAAAGAAAAAGCAAGAATTGAACTAGAATTACTTGAAAAAAATCTACAACTAGAACAAGACAAACTGAAGTTAGAACAGGAGATCATACAAAAGAAATTGAGTCTTCTGAAGATTAATAGTGAATGTTCAATTTCTGAAATGAATGAAGAAGGCAAGTCTCATTATTCACAAACATCAGCAGATATTCAGAAATGGATAGATGATATTCCATCAAATTTGAATGAAGAGCAGATAGTAGAAAAATCAGCAAGTTCTGGAAACAATTCTTTGGATGTGCAGAAAATCTTATTCCGACAGTCATCGGCTTCTAAAGAATTACCTTTTTTTAGTGGAGATCCTATGGAGTGGCCAAGCTTCATAATGTATTTTCAGGAAACTACAGAAACATGTGGGTTTTCCAAACGAGAAAATATGTGCAG